TGCTGGTTTACTGATTATTTCATGGTGATAGTTTTGAATATTTTAATAATTGTGGATAGTAACAGCATGGGTTTAGAACAGCTTATACCTGTTACGATAGTGTATTTACCTTAATTTCTCCATAGGCGAAAGCAAGTAAAGATACAATAATTGTCTGACTTTTGGATAAAGAATACAAGATGTTGTAAGTTACAAGAGCAATTGCAGGTGATCTGAGACTTTTGTTAAATTTAGAACAGGGATAGGTAGCTTAAGTAAGTACCCTAACTTTGAGAGAACCCTTCTGATGCATGCAATTCCTTCTTCAGTATCAAATATATGTGCTATATTCTGTCATTTGTGTATCTTACAATTGTGTTGTACAGAACAATGATTGAATATAGAGATTCTAAGGAAATAGTCTAACTATATGTTGGGACTTGAAACATGTTGTTTTGTATTGAACAGATCAGGTTTGGAGAGAATGTATACTTTGAAGAGAATGGCTGCATATTTCTTTCAAAAGTAGATGATGGTAAGGGATTTCTCTTCCTAACGTGGTACAATTGTTAAAAATGTTGTACAGGTATCACTTGATATACTTCTCTTACATTAAAGCTTAATTGCTCTGTTTCTTAAAATAACTAAACCAAAAATACTCTCATAAAATTCTTTAATGATTGATTAATAATTCTAGAATCCTGAATCTGAAAAGGTGAGGTGAAGAGAGTTAGAGAATAGTATATATTGATACTAAAGCAATTTTCTGGAGAGGGAAGAGAAAAATCACTTCTTCTAACTTAACATTTTGAAAAAGGAAAAGCACATTTGTGCTTTTTTATTTCTGAGGGGGTGGAAAAAAATTTACTAATTGTATTAAGTAAAAACAACTTTGTTTTAGGTATCTGAACTTTAAAATTTAGTACATTTACTAGAAGCCAAGATCTACGCTTTGAAAATATTTTTAATAGTAACTACAAGACTTTTTTTTTCCCTGGAACTGTAATTTGTTGTTTATTTTTACAAAGTGCATTTGCAAATATCGTGCAAGACAAGTATCTGGTGTTAATGAATTGTAGTAGTATGCCTGTGAATATTGTAGGCAGACTTGTTAAATACAGGCATTAACAACCACTGTGCCTTAATTACAGGATTTTTTTTGCTATCTTTTTTTTGATGTAGTAGACGAAGGAGGTGTTGACGTTTTATTCAGTACTGAAGATCTTGGCTTTTCTGATGCTTTTATTCAACGGATCAGAATTTCACCAGATCAGAGATACATGGCTATCGGCTTAAAAACTGAAAATTCTGAAGAGGCAACCTGCATTATTATGAAACTTGGTCATTTTCCTGTTATGGAAAAAGTAATTGCAAGTGTATTTAGTTTTGGTAAGTTGTTTATAAATACCCTGTGGATCATACCAGCTTTCAACACAACATTTTTGTTAGTCTACAAATAATACTGAAATATTTTTAAAAAATAAGGAACATTTTTAGATTTAATCCTTATAGGTGCTGAACTGTTTCTTATTTACGATTTCTTCCAGACTGCACAATTACAAGTTATCTGAAGTGGATGAAAGTGATTGCTTTCATGATAAAAGTCTGCCTTCATTGTAAAAGCAAGCATTTATACATGCATATCATTTTTTTTATTGAATTCAATAGGCTTCTTCGAAAAATTACTGACACAACTGCTTGTAATATAAAGATCTTTTTGAAAAATGTTCTAGTTATTAAACCCTTACAGCTACAACTGAAGTCACTGATAGCTGTAGGTACTTAGCTTTGCTGAAAAGTGTGCAAGTGCTACCTACTATTAAGTATTGGATTATATTGTTAGATGTCATCAAGTATATATAGGGCAGTAAGCAATTTGCCTGGGCAGGGCAAAAATTAAAACTCTAGGTAAAACCTCCTAGTTACAAAAATGAAGAGTAGCAAGCATTTAATGTTGTAAGTGTTTGCACAATTGAAGTTTATAATGCTTGTTGAAAACTAGGCCTGCAAATTTGCCAGTGACATTTTTCACTGTACTGCCGACATAGGTGTGACTGATTCTGACAGATAATAAGAGTACAATAAATGACTATCAGAATGGTAGAGATTACACCAATTTTGTCAACTTACTGAGGTGTAAGTGAGGTATAGAGGTATCATGAAGTACAGAGGTACCCCAATCATGAGCAAGAGGATTAGGTTTTATGACCACTTGCAAAGTATGTGCTTCTATTGCATGATATGCAATAGCAGGCAAACAAATGAAAGTTCTTGAAAATTTACATCTGTGGTTTTTAATTTACATCTGTGGCTGTAGAAGAACTTGGATTTCTTTTCTAAAGACTTGTCTTCAGAGCGAATGCTCAGCTACTTGTGCACTTTGGAGCCACATTGCTGTTCAGATAGCAAATTGTTTGCATTACTTCAGAGTGGCACTTTCGCGGACTTTTTACTGAAAATTAGTATTTATGCATAAAACAGCATACAGTAACATTTTAAAGCGTATGTATTAAACATCATTCTGGTGGCTGTAGGAGCAGCAGAGAGAGCAGTAATTTGGCTGGATCAGTCAAATTACTAAACTTCAGAATAGCAAGGTTCCTGTATTTAGAAGTTTCTAATGTTGGTAAACACATATACAAGCATAGAAAACCAGAGAATTTTTATCTCAGCAGTTCCCATGGGGCATATGCATAATCTCTTTTCTCTGAATAGTTTGCATGCAGCCACATGCAGCAGTGCGGAGCTCATACTGTCTTTATTATCTTGCTGACTCCGTGTAAATCTGTTTCTCTGCTCAGTTTTAAACAGTCACACATCTTCTATTTTCCTGTTACCTCCAAAACCCCCACAGGGTCAAGAGCTTCCTCTTCCTGGGCCCTGGAGCATTGTCCTCTACTCCTTTTTTTTTTTTTTAATTATTTTTTTTTTTATTAATATATTTCAAGATTCCTGTTCTGTGGGATTCAGAGAAAACATGGAAAAAATCTCTTTTGTAGCTTACCCTAGCCTCTGGGCTGTAGAAGTGCTGTCCTCAGTTCCATGTCAGCTGTAACCCACCTTTTTCAGCATTTGGGTCCAGTGTTCATGGAGCTCCATTTTCTCTCAGTAGTAGCATATACTGTTCCAAATTTGATATGAATTTGTCTTTTTTCCAGAATGGGCTACACATGATGTTCTGTATTACACAAGTCAGAAGAACCTTAAATGCCAGAATGTGTTTATGACCACTTTCACTAATCAGAAACATACTAAGTTAGTTTATACAGAACAAGATGCAAGGTAATACTTACCTAAAATATAACAAGTCCTTTATGTATTCTGGAGTATTTTATATGTAAAATATAATTGGTTTGGAAAACAAATTCTTCCGTATCATATTCCAAATGGTAAAAGGCATTTTTAAGTTGTGTTCTGCTGTCAGTAGTGCCTTATGCAGTCTAAGAATGCGCTCTCTTCTCCTCTTGATATGTGATCAACAGAGATTTAACTTTCCTCTCTTACCTCATGAGTTCAGCTGAGTTTATAAATGTCAAGGTCAGTCTCAGGTCAGGGTGTCCTTTAATGAATGTGTGACAGTTTCATACAGGGTAAATCAGACTGTGGATTTCATTTTGTTTTCTCTGCTATTGATGTCTGATACATCTTTTAAAAAACCAGAAGTTCAGGCTAATCCTTGCTCTGGGTAATGGATGAGCAAAATCATTACAGCATTCCCAGAGACAGAACTATTGTTGACTGAATACCCTCTCAATAACCTTTCTTGAAGCAGGGGTTTAGGAATACAAGAAGGCTCTTGCTAAATTGAGTGCAGAACTAGTTTTTCAGCCATGTAGCATGTGGTAGATTTATACAGCATTCCATAAATGTTTGTGATTATTCTTAATTCAAGTTACATATTCAGTAAAGAAATTTCAATTATACTTTCATCTAAAAAAAACCAGAAAAAAATCTGCAATTGAGATGGAGTAAATAAGATCCTTTTGTTCCAGCTGCATTTGATACATACTTTTGGAAAATCAAGTTGCACTGACCTGACACTTCCCCACAGGGAAACTGTTGGCATAATTCTGAAGGTCATAGTCATTACAGTAAATCTACTAGAAACTTACTCTAAAGGTTCATGTGCTATTGCAGCTCATAACTGAACTCACTTGTTCATTGGAGATGGCAAGACATTCTTTTGTATTGCCATTGAGCAGTTCCATTCTGCATCTCACCAGCTCTTTCAGGTGCAATCAAATATATTTTTGAAGAAGCTGAAAATTTCTTGACTTTCTTAAAAAAAGAAAAGCTAAAGACAAAAAAAAAATTGTAATATCAAGGTCAGAGTCCTTGGGGAGAAGTGTAATGGGCATTTCAGCTTGACTGTCTTAGAGATAAGGTCAGCAGAGCTGAACTGTTGGAATCTCTACTGAAAGCAGTGCTGCGCTCTTGCCAAATTCGTGTGTATTAGAGAGGCAGGAGGCTGATTCTTTGCAGACTTTAGATCCGCTGCTGTCCCTGTCCTCCTAAAGATGTCAAAGGGGTGCAATTAGAAAAAAACAATAGTACCAAAAACATTGGAGTTCCTCCACCTGCAAATAATTAAAGGCACTGAAAATGCTATCTAAAGCATCCTTTCCTTCACCAGTCAAATATTTTGAAATCTAAGGGGATGGAGGGATCATTATTGTAGTTGTGTATTTGATCTGTATAATACAGATTATGGTACTTAACCCTGAAATTTCTTGATGAAATCTTCTGGATCTTTGTGTTGGACAGTTTTGCTTTTAGAGACATCCAGTCTTAAAGATTCAAAATGGCAAAGAAACTGCTATGTCCCAAAATGTGACATTCCAGTTGATTAGGATGACTCGTGGAAATTTGAATCTGAATTTCAGCCTGAACTTGTCAATATTAGCATCCAGCCACTAGTTATCATTCTGTTTCTAGATTTTAGAAGCATTAGTTCTAGTTCCTAGTTTCTTAGATAGTTCCCAAACCAGTTGCTAGTTTCCACCTTTATCACTGCAACACTGTCTTGTCACATATAGGCCTCTGTACTTTTTTTAAAAATAGTCTTTTTTTGTCTTACTTGCTTCAGACAAAGTTAGATTGGTAACACTTAGATTTTTTATCAATTTATGTTTATAATAGCTCTTACTTTTCTTTTGTTATTGCTGTTCCCCCATCATGTCCTTTATTAATTTAATTATCTGTTACTACTTTTTTTAAAAAAATAAGGGTTCAAGCTCAAAAATTTCTTCATTTTGCCTGAATTTTAAAGCCTATATACATTAATGAGCTTTCAGTCTTAGTGATGCAAAAACCTGAATTCAGTTGGGCAACAACTGAGCTGCTTTCCTTGCAGATTTCAGGTTCCACACACAAGACAGTGGGTTTTTGAATCCAGGATAAATGCAGCAGGAGTGAGTTTGGGAACCAAGTAGTCTGGAATTTCTCCAGCCTACTTACTGGCATGCTGTTTCTTACCTTGCAGATGGAAGCTCATGATTGTGAAACAACGGATGTATTTTTAAAATACTAATCAAGTTTAAGCTCTTTTTTTTCCTAATTATTCCTTACAGATTCTTTGTGGACATATATTGCACAAAAGATAGGCGTTTTCTCACTATCAACAGCAACAGCAAGACAACCTCGGAAGTGTGGCTGATTGACTGTAGACATCCTTTTAAGTTACCTGCTCTTGTACAAGCACGAACAAAAGGGGTCATTTACCATATTGAGCACAGAAACGATGAATTATATATTCTTACTACATATGGAGAGCCTGCAGAATATAAGGTAAGTTTAACTGATAATAAGATTCATAGGATTCATTCAGATACCTGTTGCAGATCCTATAGAAATAGTAAGGCTGGCTTTTAGTTCTGTGCTTCAGACCTTACTGAAATAATCTTAGAGAATTACACAGAGTGCTGCATGGATTGAAAGACTGATAGTAGCACATGGAGTCTCTCACCTGTAGCATGCTGGTTTGATTCTAACTCCTTTGGCAACATTGAGAAATGAGTATGCTTTAACAGCAATTTCCCATATATTAAAATTTAAGTTGGTGATCTTAGTCTATATAAACAAACCACCTACAGTTCTGCTGAAAGCACTTATTGCATAAAAATCTTCTATAGATTGATCTGTGAGAACTGAACTTACTTTTCCAAATGTTACCGAATTGTTCTTCCATTTTGCCCAAATAAAGGGAGTTTAAAAACCTTTAGTTTGCCTTTAGTCAGGCAAAACCCCCCAATACACAGTAATAAATTTTTGCAATAAAATTGTTGCATGAGATCACCTATATGTCTGTACATCTTATTTGTAACTCTTACTACATCTTCGTAACGCAAGGTTGGTTTCTGTTTTTATAGTTGATGAAAGCACCAGTAGCTGCCAGTGGCATGGAGAACTGGCAGTTAGTTCATGCACTGGAAAAGAAAACCAAGCTAGTAGACTTGGAGATGTTCAGTGATCACTGTATTATGTTCCTGAAGAATGCTGGTCATCTTTACTTGAATGTGATTTCTTTTATTTCACATTCAGTTCAGTCAATAAAGGTATGTTTTAGCTTGGCTTAAGCAGCATAATATTTTTCTGGCACTATTTCTTTTTTTTTTTACCTGACGTAACACTATAATGAAAGCAAAGATAAAGTCCAAGAGTAGAAGTGGCTGGAAACTATAATACTGCCAAGTTTGTCATTATGATAATTGTATTACCTGTGGCTGTTCTTCAGGATTTCATGTGGTGGCTTATTGCAGCACTTAAAGAACAGCTATCCTATGAGTCAGTTCTTTCTTCAACTTACTACAGTCAAGCTCTTTACAATGCAGCAGATTTCTAATGTAAAACAGGACTTGATTCCCTGCTCAGTTTTACTGGGCCTATTTTTGGTTACACTCATCAGTGTAGGCAAGGAAATAAGCCTGACGCTCCCACAGAAGAAAGATTAGAACATTCAGAAGGCAAGTATGGAAACTGTCCCATAATAAATGGGAAGAGTTGATATTGCAGTACAATTTGTGAGAAGTATTTCTTCCCTTCTCTAGTTGTTGCTAAATACTTGTGGATTAAAAGCAAAATGACTCAATTCAAAAGCATAATTTCTGGACACCATTCAGATGAAATACTTAATTGATTTGTTTGCCTGAAAAGTACAATCTGAACTACTCGCAAGTTTATTGCAGCAAGCTACCAATGCTGCATTCTATAAAACTGCTACAGAAAAAGGTTTTCAACAAAGTACACTGTATGGTCTCTGAAACCTTAATTTTTGAAAATGGTTGTAGTTTATTTATTCAGAAAGGGTCTGCAGTTACTCTGGAGAACTTGGACTTTTGCTGCCATTTCAGAAGTCTCTAGCAACCTAACCCAAGTAAGTAGTGGTCTGGCAGAGGGTTTGACTGTGTCCCTGCTGCTCTTAAAAGAATCAATCTTGATTTCTTTTATTCTTAGCAGAGTTAAAAATCTTAACTATAATAACAGTAAGTGTCTGAGGGTGAATGTGCCAGGAAAAGGTTTTGTTCTTCACAATGGCTGGCACTAGGAGCAAAGTTAAAAGGCAGGGGTTTTCAGTGGCTTAGCATTACTGAGCTAACTCACAGCAAAAGCATAACAACTGACATGGACTTGGCTGAATAACATGTTGAAGTAGAACTGGAAATCAGAGGGGAAATAGGATCTAAAAAAATAAAAACAATGAAAAATCATTTAAAAGACTGTTTTAATTAAAAAAAAATTCTGCTCTAATGCCCATTTTAAACTAGATTTGGATTTATTTTTTATTTCATTGTTGAACTTAACCAGTGGCCTTAGGGGAAAAGTCTGCCAGTCTTTCACTTTTTGACTGTTTCATTACTGAATTTAAAAGAAATACAGATTGTGCTACATACAAACTCAAGATAATTAGCTTGATACTTAGAATCTTTTCCTCTGAAGGACACACTAGGCAAAACTTACAGAAGCAGAGTAAGGGTCTCACTTGGAATACTGTGTTTTCTCAGCTACCTACATGGGCCTGTGAATTTGAATTGGAATCGCATCCTGAACATACCACCAGCACTTGCTATTTTCAGCTCACCTCCCCAGTACACCCCCCTAAGTGTTTTGCATATTCATTTAAAGAAAATACTCTCATTGAACAAGCTGTGCAAGAAGTACCAATTATTATGAATTGTCACACTACACGTTTACTAGCTAAAAGCAAGGTAAGATTTTTTCAATCCTTCTGCCATTCCCTTTATTCTTCCCTTCTTCCCCACCCATTTAAAGAAATGCATTTGGCAAGGAATAGAGATTGAAAAAAAAACGTAAAGAGCAGTTGGTGCTATAGTTATTAAACAGTGGGTGTTTTCTTCAGTACTATAGAGAAGAACAAGAGTCATGATAAGATTTTTTTTTTTCCATTAACCTGAGTATGCTAGAGGAGATAACAGTACATGATGAGTCAAGAATCTTAGTATAGCATAACTTAGAATTGTTAGTTGATGTATGGTATTGTACTCTCCATGATGCCAGCTGTTGAAAAGAACATCCCTCAATCAGGTGCACAGTATAGATGAAAGTTTTAACAGCCTGAGTTTAAAAAATTGGAGATGCTAATAAAGAGTTTGTGCTGCAGTAAGTGGTAAACTATTTTGTTAATAATAGATATTCTTGGTGTTAAAGGGGGAAGGAAGACTTGGGTGCTTTGGTAGTTTAAAAACTCCTCAGGTGTTGCACTTAAATGAATTTTATACTCTGCATCCGTAAGGCTACACAGCAGAGGTTCAGTTTCTCGCTTTATTTTTCAAGAGTGGTTTGTACATACTAAGTGAAAAAAATTACTGTAATCAAAAAAACACATTTTAAAATAAGTAATTGAAGTTTTCATTGCCACGTGTCACTGAGATTTCTGCAATGTCCTTTATTGTAAAATACTCCCTCATTTCCAGGATGAAACTTTGGTGCCAATTACAGTTTTTCATAATATGAATTCTAAAGAGCTACACAGGAAACCACTTCTAGTTCATGTATATGGAGCTTATGGCATAGATTTGAACATGAGCTTTAAAGAAGAGAAGCTGATGTTAATTGAAGAGGGTTGGATATTAGCATATTGCCATGTTAGGTAAGTCAAATACATAAAATGGAATTAAGATTTTAATGTGTGGGATATACAGATATTTCTTGATACGCATCTGAAGAGGTGCAGAAATAATTTTTTCATGTAGCTATACCTAATTCTTCATGCTTTTCACTTCCAGCTCTTTTTAGATTTTCTTTTTAAGTCGTTTTTAACAAAAAACCAAATTTACCTCAGGAAAAAAAAAATCACACTTTCCAGACCATATACTGCATTTACGTTTCTTAAATCAACAGGATGGTTGTATGTAACTTTTAATCTTTTGAAGTCTCATTGCTTCTTGTCTGATCTTTGCTCAAGAAAAATTTTGATAATATGTTCAAATTGCAATAACATGCTACCTCCCTGTCTTTCCAAGGGCATTGTGTACTAATGTTCAGTCTGTGTCTTCTGAAAGCCATTTGCCTTCTACAGCAACAACTAAGAATTTAACCTGCATCTCTTGTTCTTTTATTGGCTAAATCATCTGTCTCCAGTCTAGCTACAAATCTACTAGTTTTTATAAACCACTATGTACAGTGGGCTTCACATTTTCATTGAGATGATAATTTAGTAGGTAGAGAAGATAAAAAAAGAATCACTTTAGGGAGGGGAAGGAAGGGAGAGAATGAGCAGTTGTTTGAAATACAGTTCCAAAACAAATTCAGCATACAAATATATTTAGTGGCAAGCATTGTGCTGTTCCTCCCCCCACGCCTCTAAGTATCTTAAGATGCAAGTCAGACCTAGATGAAGATAGATTCTTCATCCAAAGATGAAGATTATGACATTAAACTGTATTTTCTGTTTCATTCTACCAGTTTCAGAATTGGAACATTCCAATTCAGAATTCACCATCCAAAGATGAAGAATTCTGGCAGACTTATCAGTTAATTAATTTTAAACTTGAAGCCTGAATAAGGAAACTTCAGGTGGCTTAGAACCAAAATTGTGGTTGCATAGAAAGGAATATAAATAATTTTTAAAATTCTGTATTACAAAATATTTCAAGTAGTATTTGAAATTCACAAACTAAGAAAACCCAACTTTATAACAGTGTCAGAATTTAAGGTATGCAGAAGACAAATCCTGAGAGGCTCAGTGTAGAGCTGAGAACTACTGTTTTACTGTTTTTAATAAATGCTAGTCTTGGTGATATAAGTATTTAAAATGTTTTGGATGTTTTAATAGTTTCCTGTGTAAAAAGATACATGCCTACGATGACAGTGTCATTTCCTAAAGTGGTGCTTTTCCTGTGAGTTCCAGGACAGAAGCCCATGCAGTTAGGGTTTTCACCAATCATCATGCACAGATGTTTTTTGTTTGCATATTATGTATTTTAGCCATAAAGGAGGGTAAACACAAGAATAGAGAAAAGAGGAGTTAATTGGGAAGGCAAACTATGGTTTTGCAGTTCTGGGGCTGCTGCTGTCCTTTCATTATCTGAAGCTTTATCATGTGGTGTTTTCCAAAGAGACTCCAACTTGAATTGCTTTACATTTCAGGGGTGGAGGCGAGCTAGGCCTTAGCTGGCACAAAGATGGATGTCAGCATAATAAACTTAAAGGTCTCCATGACCTTAAGGCTTGCATCATGCTGCTGCACAAACTTGGATTTTCTCAGCCAAAATACACAGCACTAGCAGCTGCCAGTGCTGGAGGAGTTCTTGCAGGAGCCCTGTGCAACACTGATCCAGAACTCATCAGAGCCATGGTTTTACAGGTGAGGTGCTGCAGACCTTTTATGGATTATGACATTAAACTGTATTTTCTGTTTCATTCTACTAGTTTCAGAATTGGAAACATTCCAATTCAGAATTCACTTTCATAATTTGTTTGATAAAACCTTGACCTAGGTATTTGAGGTCCTCTGTCTTACTTGCCAACTTTTTTTTTTCCTTCCTAATAATTTCTAAGGCTCCTTTTGTAGATGTTCTAAATACGATGATGAAAACTTATCTCCCACTGACAATTGAAGAACAGGAAGAATGGGGAAATCCATTAGCAGATGAAAAATGTGCAAAGTATATCAGAAGCTATTGTCCATACGAGAATATTAAGCCACAGGTAAAACTATGCTGTCAGGGTGAAATACTACAGTAAAAGTGTAACAGTTCGTAAGAAAACAAAAAGTGGATAACTGGAATTTAAAAAAAAAAAACAAAACAAACCTCTATTTTAGCTTTTCAAGTGCTTTAAAACCCAGTATTTTAGAATTGTCTTAACTGCTGCTTTGTGTTAAAATGAATCACTAATGTAAATACAAACTATTTCAGTAATAACCTTAGCGATATTTGGAGTCTTAACTAACTACTGAAATTAAGCAAATGCCTTCTCCTAAATAACCAAGAGATTTCAAAAACTGCTTTTGTTATAGGACTGCCAGGAAGTAATAGATTATTCTATCATATAACAAACCTCAATATGTAAAATACCTTCTCCTTTTGTGTGGGGTTTCTGTTCTACTGGGTTTTGCAGAGTTTGTCACAGGAGGAAGGAGGTATTTTCCACTGATTAAATAGATTTTCAGAGGCAAACAATGAAATGGAAAAGGAGCTATAGCTTTGACATTGTCATCTCAGAGGAAATCTTTATTTGAAGTAATGTGTTAGTTGTGTTGCATAGCTTCATTAAATAAAATCTTACTATATAGAAACAACCACTTTTTATGTGTAGAAAGATTGTAAAAGTAAACCTCAACTACTGTTGTAAGGTGAACCGTTCCATGATTGTTACTCCCTTTTTTTTTTTTGCAATCATCAGCAAGCAGACATGTATCAGACCTTTACCAGCAGGGAGAGGATGTTTTTGATTAACTTTTGAAAGCAGATGATCCCTTAATACGAAGTCATTTTTCAGACCAAAATAGTTTTTACAGTTAGAGTAATAGAAGTGCTTTTTTAAGAGCAGGTAATTGTGTAATAGATGTGGCCTTAGATAAACCATAACAAGTAGTACAGCAAGATAAATAGAGAAGAATTGGTTACTCCATAAACAAATCACATTGTCAGGTATTTAACTGGTCTTGTTTTTTTAATCTCAGTGTTATCCTTCAGTTTTTATCACGGCGTATGAAAATGATCAACGGATACCACTAACAGGAGTTCTACAATACGTTCAGAAACTCAGGAAGGCTGCAGTAGATCATGCCAGCAGAACAATTAAGAAAGGTAAGAATAAGAATATTACAGATACATGGAGTTAACTAAACCAGAATATTATGTCATGTAATTATGTAATGTAATATTCTCATGTAATTGAAACACCATAGAGATTGACTCCTCCTTAAATGTCTTCATTTGTACAATATGATCCAGTATCTAAAGCTCTGAAGTGATTTCCGTATCTGCAAAGATGAGATGTGCAGTCATACTGACAAACAGATAAACCTCAGCTTCTAAGGTGCATGCTCCAGAGCCTTAAGAGGGATGATATATCTGTTGTAGACCTGCCTGAAAATAGTTAAACTCGTGTGTTAAACCACAACAGGCTCAGGAAACCCTCTGAGATGGGGAACAAAAAAAAACTGGGAGAGAATATGGAGAGTATGAGTGGGGCTTACTCTTTCCTAGGCCTGAACAGATGGCGACTGTTGGACAGTGCTAGGTGAACCCATACTGTCTAATCCAGCTACTGATTTGGTCAGACTGCAGTTCTGAACAACACATGGATAAAGATCTGCCACTCTGCAAAAACCTACTTTTCCCAGTTTGCCAAAACTGCAATTGTTAGTCCAGGTTAGAATGACAACAATGCCAAGGCATAGATGTTTTTATACCTGAAACTTAACACTAGCTTTGGGACTGTTTCCAGCAGAAAGGTACATTCAAGCCTTCCTGTTTCCTAGTACCATCTAATTTGGGGAGAGGCTTTTACCATCAGTACCAAAAGAGATCATGAATTAGCTTTTCTAAATGTCATTATGCCCCTTCTCTGCTACCAGCACAGCTGCAGTGGTTGAGAAAGGATAGCAGGTGCTGCAATTGCTGTTGCAGTCTTTGCTCAGAAAGAAAAAAGCATGCCTTTCCCAAAAGACTCAGAGAGAGAACACGCTAAATATATAAACACTTTTCAAATATCTAGTTAATAGAAATATAAATAGTTCATCCAGCAAGCCCCTATACAATTCTTTTTTTTTTTCCTTCTTATGGAGTAACAGAAATTCTGTCAGTACAGAAGGCAGAATTATCTGTCCCTAAACAAGTCACATCCTTGCTTACCTTTTTCCTTGTTCAATGTCAAGTGATGGCTAGCTTCGTTATTGCAGGAAATTGGATCCCCAATATCATCTTAGACATCCGGGCAAACGGCAGCCATTGTGATTCATCTTGGGAGGACTCAGTGAATGAGGTATGTTCCCTTTATTGCACACATCCATAACATGTTGGAGGGAGGTGTCCCCTCGATTGATACTTCAAACCTCAGGAGTTCATGCAGTCATTGAATGTATGTTTGAAGTATCAAAAGAAAAAAAAACCTGCTGGAATTAAGGTTGTTCTTGCAACCTCTTATATATATTGCAAGAGCAACTGCTGGTTATAT